TATTATTATTATTAATATGTGTATACGAACGAGTATATATTAGTGTACCTACACCATGGACCTACAATTTGAATGTGTTCGTTTTAGAGGATTTATGTAAAATTGTTTGTCCAAATATAATTTATTAAATAAAAAGTCTCCTTTGTTAAAATACCTTTTTTTTTGAGGAGTCCAAAAGAGAAGGAAAGTAATAAAAGGCAGCAGCTGCCAATCATTGCGCACAAATCGTAAAAGTCATTGTCGAATGGGTTTTATGTTGTCTTTTATGGTGTTAAAGACTGACAAATTTTCACATAAGGAGGTAATTTTGACACAATAAGTACCATGCGTCGCCGTCGCTTCGCTTTAGTACCCGACCTACTTTGAATAAGGAATGTAAGAATATTGAAATTAAAATTTTCCCAGTGTATTTAATAATTTTGCATTCTATTTATGATTTTATACTATTAATACACTCAGGCGGAGAACGGGACAACCGACGTTCTTGTAATTTTTTTAATCAATGATATAAAACTAAAATATCTTTTTTTTATTTTTATTAAATACTATTTTATTTATTCATTATATTAATTTAAACAGCTACTACGGTTGTAAATTTAATCTTATAGCAGTCATTAATAAAGTAACTATATAAAAAAAAACTATTGAAATCTACCGAAAGTTCTAATACCTTTAAGTATTAGATACCATGACCATCTGCAATAAAACCAGATTAATTGCCAGCTATAGGTATGTTATTAAGAAAAACAATACAGGTTATCATTATTGTATTCAGCAAATCGAGGAGCTCGATTGCGCAAGTGGTTAGCGCGTTCGGCTGCGATCGTTGAAGTAATACAACTTTCGCAGTTGTCGGTCATTGGATGGGTGACCAAAAATTTACTATTTCGAGCTCCTCCGTGCTTCGGAAGGCATGTTAAGCCGTTGGTCCCGGCTGGACTGCTATCGACTAAATATTTGTTGAATCATCATCACAACAGCCTTTAATGTATATGTCGCCACCGCTGAGGCACAGGCCTTCCCTATGGATTGAGAAGGGAGATTGGGGCTGCTCCACCACGTTGGCCCGCACGTTGGCACGAAAATATTATAAACTAGCCGTGCCCCGCGGTTTCACCCGCGTTTTTCTCGTTTCCGTGAAAATACCGAGATAAAATATTTAAGTACCAACTCTTAACATCTTACACACGTGATAACTTTTAAACGAAATATCCGATTGAGATGAAACAAAAAGTATTTTACTTCTACATAAATACTCTTGATAACATAATGCTTAATTTCGATAAAGATTAATATTACGATACATATTTAACGTATTATTTTGAACACAAAATCGGTAATTGTGATTAAACCATGATAGCTAGATATATGTTCTCGCGGACTTTTTTTTAGGTCTTAATGGGATCTACAAACCCGTAGTACATCATTTTGTTCTATTGTCAATAGTTTTGGCAGCGCACGCAAAAATAGGTTTTCGATTTTACACCTTGTGTTACAAAATAGCAATTTTATAACGGATCCCTAATTTTGAAAATAAAAATATAGCCTATAGCCTTCCTCGATAAATGGACTACCCAACACTGAAAGAATCATTCAAATCGGACCAGTAGTTCCAGAGATTAGCGCGTTCAATCAAACAAACCAACTCTGCAGCTTTATAATATTAGTATAGATGTATTCAATGCAAGTACCTGAACTTAGTTCTGAACTAAATATTTGTTGAATCATCATCAACAACCTTTAAATGTCCCCACTGCTAAGGCACAGACCTTCCCTATGGATAGAATAGAGAGATTGGGGCATTGCCCAATATACAGGGCGTACCACGGCTATCTCACACGGAGGGAAAGTATATTAAATTTTAAAGATAGGATATTTTACTGAAAGAAGACATTATTTTATTTTTAATAATAAAAAAAACTGCATTCACAGATTTTAAAAAAATCGCCTGCTACAACTGGGAATCAAACTCGTGAAATTTTGAAAAAATAAATACAGCATATTTTATGATAACCATCGAAAGGGTTATTTTTCACAAGGATTATTTTTTGCTAAATAACATAGCATTTTAAATGAAAGGAATACCTTATTACGTGATAAAAATAATAAAGTGATATACAAACTGTAGTACGTATGCATTTATTTTTGAACTCACAGTTACAATGTGATTTGCTGAAATTTATAAAAATAATAATTCTAAAATGGAACACATGAATTTTTAAGCGTCTGCAATTTCATTTGAAATTTTATTGTTAATTTACTTATCATGGCGTATCAAAATAAAATGAGTTTAATGGAAGGTTACTTTATGAACCACAAAGACATAATATTAGCTTTGCGGTGGTACCGCGAAAGATACCCTGATAGAACCGTACCTTCTCGATATGTGTTTAAAAGGTTAGTGGATACTTTAAGAAATTTAGGACGTTTTGATATGTGCTTACAGAAACCACTACAGCGGATGATAAATGTCAACGATGATGAACTAAACATTTTAACTTATTGAGGCGTATCCGATTTTAAATTAGTTTGTCAAATAATTTTAAATAAAATGTTAAATTAAATTAAATTTAAATTTAAAGTTTCGATGGCTATCTTAAAATATGTCGTGTTTTCTTTTCTGAATTTCACGAGTTTGAATCCCAGTTTTAGCAGGCGATTTTAAAAAAAACTGTGAATGCAGCTCTTATTAATATTAAAAATAAAACGATGTCTCCTTCAGTAAAATATCCTATCTTCAATATTTAATATACTTTCCCTCCGTGTTTGGAAGCCGTGGGACGTCATGTATACATGCATTGAATACATTTATAATATTTTCACTGACGGCTTATCAGTAGTCCTAACACATCTCTGTTCCTTGGAACAACCCCACGACTGTAATTACTGTTTTCGAAGTTGTTTTTAACTATTTCGTTTTATGGCAGAACCAGTCGTGAATTTAAATTTAGATTGTATTTAATTTTATTATTTTTAATTTGTAATTCAACGAAATGCAAAAACAATACAGAAAATGTTTCAATTTTATTGGAAAGCATAACATTTTCATTTAGTTAACAAATTATTAATAGCTGTACCTACAAAATGAAATACAACAAACAAAAGCACAATAATATACCTATCATACAGTTATATGTCAAAACAAGTGAACTGTTGCCACCGAAAAGTTTAATTTCAAAGTTTAAACGAATGGACACGAACGGTTAACATTGTTTGGATATGGGTAATTGCTTTCCATTTTCACACATATAAGTTTCATTTAATACTTCCAGACCGTAGTTCTGCTAAATAAGGAAGTTCATCTAAATATCTCTAAAGAACGTGTTGTTCTGCCCATATGAAATAAATGGTTTGTAAGCGTCGGAATTGATCTTTTGCAATCAGGGTTAATTGATTAATCATTTATAATTATAATATAACAAAGGACCTTTGCTTCAATATAGACTAGTTTTTACTGTTCCAAAAAGGCTTTTAAAACAAAAATCGTAAGCCTTCTGTGGAAAATTACCTAACCGATGATGAAAGCCGCATGAAAACACGGACAAAATAATAACCTTAGGACTCATTTGAGTATGATTGCGTGTTTGTGTGTAACTCTCTGTGTGTGTGTGCATGAGTTTGCGTGAATTACCAAACTTAAACTTTGTTTTTCACCTCCCTATTTTCGTGTATACCTACTTTTATCTTTACTATCCTTCTATGCTTCCTCTTTCAGACTTCTGCCCGTGCCCCTGGCTGTATCAAATAGCAGCCTCGAGCACGGACAGTATATTATTAAACACGTTGAAATTTGATTACAAATAACATAATAATAAAATACAACTAACATTAACAATTTCACATCATAAAACTATAAAATACACTAACTATAAACAAATAAGTCTCTATCTAATTACATAATTACTATATATAAGTAAAAAATAACATAATTAAAAAGACATATTGTAAATAATGGAATAAAAATATTATGAACAAAAATAAAATAAAAAAACACGGGCAAAATGATTTCCGCAAAACACCAGTAGATTGCTATTTGAAAATAAAAACAAAAGAAAATCTCATACACCTGTCTTCCTATCCTACTATATATATTAGGCGGCGGCAGTAACATCAAGTGGCCAAAATGGTTTCTTCACAACATTAACCTCCTTATTAATAAACGAAGAATAAGCTTGGATTGGTTACTCTATATTTTGTCTTTTTTCGTTGAATTACAAACTTCACTTGAGTGATATGAACAAAACACTGCGTATATTAATAAGGGCATAGGCAGATGGGGGTAGGGGGTAGATCACGTTTTGAAAACAGTAACAACAGAAAATCTTCAGAAGAAAGAAAGAAGGTCTTTTAAGTGTTGTGGTGACAGACCACCTAGACCACCAGCAGAAGCAGAACCTATTTAGAAGGAGAATATCGCGGCTGAGATGTCCACATCTTTGTTTGTTAAATAAGCATTGTATCATGTGGCGAAGGCAGAAAAAGAGTCGGTGCTGGAGGTACTTGTCCACAAGAGCACTAAGGTTCTCCTGGCAGTTGACGGCGACAACATCGTGACTGAACAGGCGGTTGGCGGCTCCTCGGATATCGCCGTCGCTAATTTTTAACTCTATTCTTGTGTGGAATAATTAGCCTCCAAATGATACCTTATCGATATTTTAATTTTAGTTTTTTTTCTTATAGATAGGTCCGACAAATGTCTTCACCCCACCTGATGTTAAGTGAAGTCCAGACGCAAAGAAAGCTTATACAGCAAGTCTACCCGCCACATCAGCCATCCTCACCCTGCCGGCCTGTGTGTTGTTTCTTTACGCCTCTTTTCCCAGGTTATAAGAGGGAGGGAACACCATTACGGATAGAACGACAAAGAAATGAGTCACCAAATTTCTTTGTACGCGTTGGAATTGTGGCGGCACAGTTAGACGGTGATAACGAAGGCCAGCGCGCGTGGTCTTTTGAAAGAAAAGAAAATTTGTGAAGTTAACAGAAAATCTCATAAGTACCTGCGGTGATTTCTTGCCGTCCTTCCTCGGCGGTGGCGGTAGGAACTCGAGATGCGAGGGTCTGATCGGTTCTTGCGCGGGCGGCGCGCTCTCGTCCGCCGCTCGCGACGTGGACGCGGCCCCCGTCTCCGATACGCCACAATCTGACGCCGCTTCTGTTGGTCACACGGCTCATTCTCTATTTAGTGCATCGATCTTATAAACACAAGCCTTATTACTACAAAAAAGATTGACATGCATAAAACATGAGTTTGAGAAAAAAAAAATACATATAATTTGCCTGAACAATGTTCGAGATCGTGTCTCAGAAAAGCTTTTTTGTAGTAAGACCACTTAACATAAAAATTACTAATGATGAGTTGACTGTATCATGGAGTGAGTTTGTCGTTAAATTTTGATCTCTATAAGTAATTGATTCGTCTTCAATATTTTTAAATAATCTGATGTAGGTACTTAATCAATTGGTGTTATGCTCGTACTCTGAGTTGTAATTTTTTTAAGTATGATTAAATTTATTGCTTTTACTTGCTTTACGAGAGCAATATAATAAGAGAACAAATTACTTTGATGAGCATTCAATTTGATGTTGTCGACATCTCGTAAGTGCAGTCGATAGTGTTTTAGCAATTATTTTAGACAATATTGCTTTTTGATCGTAAAAATCTGAACCTATATATATTTATTAATAAGTAAGTACCTACTGCAAAAACATATGACAGGTAGGTATACGTATTAAAAGCAAGCCAGACTCTTCATGTTTTTTTTATCTGTCAGTCAATTGTAGTGAAATATGATTTAGCTTTGGCCTATGTTATTGACGTAAAAGGCTATTGTTGTCAAAATAATTACTAAGTACATGAAAATAATAGAGTTTTTTTTTGTTCACGTAACTACCACTAATATCTATTATACTGCAAATAAGTACAATAACATAATAAAGAATAACAATATCTGACATTTTATTAAGTTGGTAACTGAATTTTACGTTTTCACCTATCAATGGATTATTCAAATTGCGTTGTTGTGTACCGAACATAATCCATCTCAATTGAAACATTGTCAGACAGCGGGAGAACATAAAATGCATCATAACTTATTTATGTTGCTAGACGAGCGAACTTCGCAACAATTTATGAGACGAAACGTATGGCTTCCCTTTTCACACCCGTTTTCAGTATCAATTACGAGGAATTCGATGCTCTATCATCACACATACAATAATGAATTAAAATAAGGCTCAATTTCTTTTTATATAAACTCTATTTATTTGAATTGTCTCTCCATCAATATTTTTAATAAAATTTGTTAGACACCTAACACTAGTTTTTCGTCGTAGATAATTGTATTTTACTATATTAAAGAAATGTTAACTATTAAATAAAAATATAAAAATAAAAAATGGTTGCCTGTAAAGTCGGTTTTACGGGCGAAGATTTTACGTGACAACGTCTTTTTCTCGGTAGAATATTTATTGATATGAATATAATTAAATTGCACAATAGGAACAAGGAATTGAATGAAAATAAGAATTGCACAAATTTTAACTATAGAAATATATTTTGTTTACTAAAACATTGTACATGTAAACTTAAACTTAACACGAGAGACTCATCGTAACGTTACCGAGCGTTACACTTTTTCATAAGTGACTCCCAGCCGCAACCTAATTTAAGACGTTGTCACGTCAAAATTATGCTTATTGTTTTATCGTTGAACGACTGTCGTCTATAGCTTTTTCCATTATATCTGGTGTTTATCGTTACTGTGTCGTCAAACTGTCTAATCGTTGAACGAGTGCCGTAACTAGCTGTCTATCAATGAAAATGTAAAACCGAAGAAAACTTTGAAGTGAACTATTTTCTCTAACCATCAATGACCGGTATTTATTTATTTATCATCAAAAAGTTTCATAAGCGTTTTACACAATATAATCTAATATAAATTACTAAATGATACTTAAGCCAATTACAGCAACTCACTTTATATTCAATTCAAAAATTTAAACGATTGCGTAGGGTAGAAATTACAATTAACAATAATATTATTATTATTTACTTTTATAATTTTATTAAGACTGCACACTCTATTAATATTGTCACTAATGCCTGCCGTGGCAGCCTATTATTAAGATACCACTTAAATTGTAACTTATACATTATTTTTATACTATACTCTGTGTGGATGTTCTTGTTGGTTGTCCTTAAATAAATAAATCAAATATAAAAGAAATACCAACAAAAATTCAAATTCATTTTGCGATAAATATAAACACCTATAATAATCAAAATTTTAAATGGAGCATGATAACTAAATTTGTATGAATCAGTGTGTAGGTGTGTGTGTGTGTGTGTGTGTGTGTGTGCATGGCTTTTGTAAAAAATATCCATACTGAAACGAGCCGGGAACGAGTACTGGAAATCAGAACTGGGTGTGCAGTCATAAGAAAACAGCAAAATGCATGAGCCGGAGCCAGTGCACGTAGTCGTTTGTGCATATTGCGTATTAGGTTGTGCATATTACGAAGTCGGTTGTACATATTGCGTAGGTATCTAATCACGTTTTTCGCATGGTTTACATGGTGGCAATATTAGAAAGTGTAAGTTTAGGAAACCAAAAATTAATAATTGATTCAATAAACAAAATATTAAACTTTTATGAAATTATATCTAAAGGAGGAATTCTAGGTAACATGCGCCAACCCATGAGCTGTGGTTACCATAACAAACAACAATAACTTAGAAAAAATTAAAGTAAATACTATTCGCCCAATTATTGTTTGAATCGTCACATAGAAAAGCAGCATTCAGCACTTTGAGAATCTGAGATGCAAAGTATGTTATTGTTAATTTGTTTGTTCCCCATTATTCTCACAAATCTCCAAATCTATGGAAATACATGACTGGAGTTCAAATGTTCGTATTCATCATACAAACATCTGCTCCCATCGGGAATCGAACCCGGGATCTCTCGAGTCGGCGACAGCATGAATCCCGGCGTACAAACCACTCGGTCACCGAGGACATCGAGGAAAACTTGAAATGCCGTTTGATGAGAGACCTCATAAACATTTTGATAATTTGTATGAGTTTACTCAAAACGGTTTCTTTGATTTCTATATAAACGACAATGATGATTACATGAACTCTATTGACTTTGAAATACCCGCACCTGTTGTTGAACTAACAGAGGGTACAAACAATTTTGTAGCGTATATGAACTGTGCGACGCCATTACAGAAGTAAGGATACAATGTTATGCAGGAAGTACCCATAGAATTTTCATTTGTGTGTAAGTATATGTATTGTAAAATATTATGTACATGTATACATACGTAGAAGTTGAGTCTTTAAAAGTGTAAAAATATATTACTAAATCCAAGGTTTGATATGAGAAATACAGGTTATGACAGAGAGAAAATCTTTTAAAGGACATGGCTAAGAAACTGCCCTTAACGTGTATAAATATTTCGCACTAGCCCGTAACTTTACAATATTTTTTTCATCCCACCACCTCGGAAAGTGTAATTTTGCGCTTCGAAATCTGGCTGGAAAATTCTATTTTATTCGCTTGAGCGGCAAAGTAGATTTGAATTTAGAACATCACATATAATGAGTACTCAATATAATTGTAAATTCAAAACGTCATTAAACCTATTTAATGTAACCTCTATGGTGCCAAATTTATGATTAGAACTTTTTAAATTGTGAAAAAATTTAAATTTGGAACCTTCTTGGTTTCTTTGTTTTATTTGCGTGCTTCGCGCCATTCTAGTTTTTCACGTTTTATTGCTTAAATATTTTGTCATTATAAATTGTTTTCTTTTTCATTTTGTCATTTCCTCGCTGAGGTGGGATGAAAAGTTACGTATTGCACTCGAGTGGAAAGATTTTTCACCTTGTGCTCGTTTGTTTCCCTCGCTGACGCTCAGGATTCTAATTTAGAATCACTCGCTGCGCTCGTGATTCAACTTTAGAATCCTTCGCTTGCTCGGTCATCCAAATCGAGCACGCGGTTAAAAAGGAACTTTCCACTCTTGTATAATAAATAACTATTTATTAATTATTACGTGTTTATTATTCTCATACAACTTTCGTGAAACAATCAAATATTTAAAAGAATAAAAATTGACTTCATGACTGTTTCAAAAGCAAAATAAATGAACAATAAATGTACACAAAAAATATTTGTGTAAGTATATCGAAATAAACAATATTATTTCTAAACTCCTTCAAACGGAAGGATGACATATTTGACCCTAATTATTAATATTACTAATCACAGAAGGCCTAAAATAATAGATTTTATTATTCTGATCAGGCTTGAGACAAGGCTGTATGATAATTAATCCCTTAATTTTTGCTAATGGACAAAATAAAACTTCACAGATTTCCATTTCCAGTCAGCCCGACGATAACAAATTATTTGTATTTATTTTTGCTTTTAAACACTTTTTGTGAAGAGTTAATCAGAGAAATGGGAAGAAAGATTCTAAGAAAATGCGAAATTGATGACTCTGTAAATAATTGGCAACATCTTTAATCAACTGTAGTAAGGTAATGACATAGTAGAAGTCCTCATAATTTTCAAGATTGTGACTTTATCAAAAGTTCCTGAGCCTTTTTTCATAGATATTATAAATATTCAGTCATTTATCATTAAATATTACTAAGTACAGTATTTATACATTGCCAGGGCAGTCGCTCATACAAAACTTTACCATGTCCTTTATTCATAATAATAATTTTAAAAGATCTTGCTGTTAAATATTTAATAAACGCACACAATTTTGCGACCTGATGAAACTCAAAAGAAGAACTTGAAACGGCAACTACTATGTGAAATTTAGAAAGCAATGCTATGGAACCTATTTATGGGACAATAAATACATAATAAAAAGTTAAGTGAATGATGTATTGTGATTTTGGATTGTGACGACATTTTTACGGTTCACGTTGCCTTGTTATTTGCACATCAGTCGCCTCTACCTCCTTTTACTAAAATTTGTATCGTGGCTTCAATAGATATTCACAACAGCAACTCTCGATAAGTCGACACGATATCGTTTTAGGTTAAATATGTTATTCGCTATAGTCGTTTTCATTGACTTGTCAATCTGTCGTCACTGCTTATAAAAAGTCATGGACGACAGTTAGTGTCGTCGCATACAGGCCACCGACCACAACCACAAAGCGCCGCCACGGGCATATTTCTTGTAGTTTTCATACATTTTATATGGACTCGCCACACACGGTACGCCGGTGGCCGTAACACGTTACAAATCGTCGTTGCTCGTTTCTTTTGCCCCGCACCGGCCACTAAATGCGCCGATACAAAACGCCGCCACACGTCACTCGCGCGATTCCCCACCCCTCTCGCCCTTACCTTAGTCGGCCGCTGTCGCGCGCTTCAGCCACTTTAGTAGCCGCTTCTAGCTTCTTGTGGCGGCGTTTGTGGCTGTGGCGTGTGGCCCGTGTGCGGCGACACTTAATGTGTGTCGTCCTATATGTGAACACCTCCATTGAAATATACAAGCAACTACGATTTAAACGACACGATAATATGTTGTCCTGACATAATGGGACACGCTCTACGCAGGACATGTTTGCCTGTTTTCTTCGCGCCTGACAACATATAAGTATCCAGCTTCTTCGACTTTTGAAAACAAATATCCGGTCGTATTAAAGCTTTTATATTTTAAAAGATATCGTATGAAGCGGAGATTTTGACATGTATAACTCCAAGACAGAAGAGCCCGAAAACATAATAAATTTTTCAGAGATTCAGTTTAAAGTTTTTACTAGTTCTTTGAGTAAATCTAAGTGAAATCCCGCGTTATTTCATTAATTGATAATCAACATCTTTGTTTTATGTACGTATTAATAAAAAGAAAACGATTAAAACGAGACTATTGTATTGCCAATAAAAATTATGTAAAAAATAACTGTGTTTGTCGGGGATTTTGTACATAGAAACACTGGCAATAAACTATGACGTGGCTCATAAAACAGCTGTACCTACCTATCATATGGGTGCGTTGCGTCGGATGTCATAAAATAATACATAAAAGCTAATTATACGTCGCCCACGACTAAAAACAAGAGATTATATATAAAGGTAACATTATGGCGAACTAAAATTAAACATCTTACTTAGACACTTCGAGTTGCGGTTTTCATTTGTTTATATTTGTTAGATAGTTATGATTGTTAGATGACGTGTTTTTTTTTGGAACGAAATTCCTTTTCACACCGTGCGCACTTGTCGGATGCTAGGTGAGAAAAAGTGAAAGATTTTTCCGCCACGACCGTCAGCTGTTTCATAGCATATTGTGTGTAGTTGTATTATATGTATACTTATGTTTATTTTTAACTTTGTTCCTACAAAGTATCCCACTGTTATTTCATGTTCGCTGCTCTTTTTTTCTACTCCTTGTGATTTTAGGTAAAAAAATAATTATTTCCTACTTTTTAATTGGTTAACATCGACAACACCTTAATTAATCAATGATAATGTCATTGGTAATGAAATATCTATCTTTCTTGACTTAGTTGAAAAAAATACTGCTAAATAATTCTAAGAGAAATTTCAGATTTATCCAAAAAATATTACTGGGAAAAATTCAACACACTACTTTTTTACCTTGTGTAATAGGTCTCTTAACAACTCACTCCATCATAAAGTAATATAAAGATAAAAAAAACATATTATCATCACATTAAAAATCACAGCTTATAGTACTACAAACACAGTATGGATTCAAATACAATAAATAAATAAACCAAGCTCTCGCAAAGGCACTCGCATTTGTTTTCGCTGGGCGCGTAATTAATGAACCAACATGAATTCGCTTAGCACGACATCATCGAATAATCTCACACAATGAATAGGAACGAAACAATCCTTCGGCAGCAGTTATGACATAGATAAGAAGATTTACAAAGCGTCATTCGAGCTTGTATACAACCAATTGTTAGGGTTTGGGAACTGTGATAATAATAATATTGTCTCCTTTAATGCTCCATTAATATGTCAATCGTTCAGTCTATTGAGTTAGCGTCTGCATAGCGTAGATAGGATTTATGTTGTGACATTTGCTTGTAAAGGAGTGTAAGAACAAAAACATGTTTTCGGTGGCGACAAGCTCATCAGCCTCGTCGCCATTATGTTGATCTGCGCAATGAATTTTGTATGAACTGCCTTGTTCGAGCGTTAAGCAAAAATGTCATCACGTTACCAGGTGACAGAAACTGCTTCAGATGACGTATAAAAGCAAGAAGTAGACTCCTGATCGCCTAACAAAATGCACCAAAAACAACGTCAACTTATAGAAAACATTAACACATTTGTTCAAATGAACACGTTATTTCGTGACTGTAAGGTTCAATGTCAATCAAAAATTTTCAAACACGAATGCTTGAAAATTACGCGCGTCAGACGAATGTGCGTAATTTTGCTTCCAACAGTTTTTGAGCGCGATTGTGAGCCTACTTGTCAATTCGTCAATGGAGATATATCAAAAAATCCATTTTCCCTTCTTTCTATATAGATGTTTAGTAACAGTGTGTCGGTATAGAGAACAATAGAGGACTTCTCGAGGAGCTCGCCTCTATCCTAAGTGACCTCGGTGCGCGTCGCCGCAAACTGACAACGCAGTAATTGGATTGTCCACTCACTAAACTACCACTTGTATTAGCAGTGGTTTCGGCAGACCAACAAAATGTCAATTGGGAAAGTGTTACATGAACTTTATTTACAATTCTGGATGAAGAAACTAAATATGTAAGGCTCACTTGCCTTAATTTTTCTAAATCTCGATTTCATTATAACCAGATTTAACCTTTACAAAACTGCCAATTGATACGTAAGTACGTTGATACTGTCAATTTCAAATTATTGTAAAGGCTAAATTTACATAGTTTTAGTTAAGAGCGAGATTTAGCAAATTTCGTGCAAGTAGTGTTGTTATCGCTGGAGATTTGGGAGAACCAGGTTAACTACCTCTGGAGGGCGGGACGTCGCTGGCAATGCCGCTGGGCGCTGGGTCGTCCACGGCCGAGGAGGTAGAAGGTGCGGGCTGGTCAGGAGTGTTGGACTGCTGGATCTTGTGGCACACCTCGAACGCCTGGCCCACTGTACGCACGATGCGCATCGCTTGACTCTGCAAACAAAGTAAATGGTTATTTGAGCTTGCTTTGAATCACAACTAAATTTAGAAATTTGTTCAATTAAAATTGTGTTTGGTGGTTTTTGTATTCTGATGCTTTAATGCAACATTCTCATAATCAAGCCTATTAATGTCCCCAAAGCAGGGGCACAAGCCTTCCCTATGGATGAAATAGTGGGCCGTGATCCACCAAGCGGACACAGTGTGGTTTGGGTGCTTAAGACTGCAGATGCAACCGGGACCAACGGTTTAACGTGCCTTCTGAAGCACGGAAGAGCTCGAGATAATAAGTTTTTGGTCACCCATCCAAAGATCGACCGTTGTAAGAGTTGCTTAACTTTCACGATCGCAGGCCGAATGCGCTAACCACTAGCGCTATCGAGCTCCTCAAATAAGCATTAATTTCTGTTAAAATGGAATAACATCAATTCAATTGTAGGTTATATAGACAGAGGTCTCCGCGAACTTTCAGGGACCACCAACATAGTTTTTTTTTTTTAATTTTTAACACTACTGTGTTCAATTCAGATTAAACAGAAACCGTGAAACGTTCCCGTCACAAAATCTGACATTTCCATTTGTTTGGCTTTGACACGTTTTGAAAGAGCTTTATTAAGAATAAATTTATGATTTCTCCGTAAAGCGTACCTACACCAACAATTTTGATACTTATTATATTTCGTGTTCACAGAGCAAACAGTGTTTACATATCATATAGACGTCACACGCTTATCAAAAAGATGAAATAAGTTACATATCCACCTACACTGAGCAAAGATAGAAATAGGATTTGATTTAACATTAATATAAGATCACCATTTTAAAGGCAAATATATTTTTACATAAAATATAAAAGCATTATAATGTTTCTACCGTGATAAGGGTAAGACAGTAACCTTTGTGTCATTGAGTAGAGAAAAAGTGAACACTCATCATATAGGTATCTAGTGAACGCGCAATATGTATAAAATAACTTTGATTTATTATTTTTACTAAATAATTACAAATCTCGGGTGATACCATTATGTCTTGAAATTTAAGAAATGGAACCAAAAAAAGGCTGAGCATTCATTATATATAAAAAAAAACAGATCCTTTTTAAGGATCCTAAAAACTTCTAGCGCAGTGGTAAGTTTTAATTTTAAATTTTACAGAACTATTATGAATTTTATATTCGGTGCGTAATATATTCGATGCTTATGTTTCCAGAAGCAGGTAAATTATATTTTACTAATTTATTTATTTTTTAGCTTAAGCGTGATGTATTTGATTTTGATTGACATTGGACATTAATTTAAAATGAAATTTAAATGGAACTTCACTTAAATTATTAGATTTATTAGACTAGACCAAGTGAAATTTTCGAAGATTTTTTTAAGATTTGTTAACATTGCTGTTAAATGCTTAAAATAAAATATAGGTAACTACATTTATTCTAGAAAAAAAATAAAGACGCCGTATTGTTCAAAACCAATGTTGTTTTTGGTATATTTAACAGTTTGGCGTGAATATTAATGATTTCAGTCACATAAAGTGGACAGCGGACTTCGATCTTGGCCCATGTCCAGCAATGGAAAGATATCTCGCGAGATGCAAACGCTTTTATTTTCTTTAATCATACATTTTTCGTATATATATTAAAAAAAAAATGTTCGCAATGATCTCGGAAAATAATGAACTGAATCTCATTATCAGAGATTTTTTTTCAAAAGTTTTATGTGTATAAAAAAGCTATTCTAACAAATCTAATAAAAAAAATGTTACGAACAACCTGGAAACAGATTTGGTCAGTACATCGCTCGCGACTTGAAGTACGCAAACACGAAAAACGAATATTGCCACACGAATACGAGCCTTATAAGTTTACTGCTGAGCAGGCTTCCTTGTCGTTGCTCAAGATGTTGAATTTTTTTAGTAGCTTCGGAGTGTTCGTTACTGATACTGATCCCTTCTGATGGTAAAGTGCTTTCATTCGCGATTGTTTAAGGACTTTTATATTGTTTTAGTGTACACTGCTTGTATTGTGATAAATATTACAACGTGGTAAATACAGAACAGTCATGCGTAACTGCGTTTTACCTAATTTCGAACCCCAACCCGACACTTAATAAAATCATTAGTACCCATTCGAAATTTATAAGTTGTATCTGCGAAACAATTTCAAGAACCTCAAAGGTATACTAATTTTCTTTTTCAGCATTATGTATAATACTTGTCGCGTGAACGTTTCCCCTTGTACAATATGAAAGAAGTTGGTTGCTGAAATAACTTAGACACTGATTGATGATCGAAAATTCATAACACGTAGGTATTATCGGAGTAACAAAATGATATCGCCGACCGGTTCCTTTTACGACGGGTCTCCAATCGCCAACGCGATTGATTGAATTACAGAAATAAGTTTATCCCCGCTTAGGACTTCAGCAAGAAAAGAAACCCTTGAATATGTATTATATTTGTACACTTGTTGAATAAAAAAAAAATGTTTTAACTTTTTACAATCACTAGGATTCCGTATCCAAAGGGTTAAAAACGGAACTCGCTGTCACTCTGTCGTCGGTCTGTCCGTATCACGGGGCGGGTCTCTAGATAGTAAACGGAAAATGTTATAGAACATAAATTTTGATATTTTATGTAGAATGCTTGCCCAAAGCCTAATATTAGGTTAAAAATTAAATACGATTATTTATTTTTCATGATTAAACGAACTTACCTAAGTGAAGTTCGATATGAACTATCCTGTTATCGCCGAAGAGATTGAGGCTGGTCGTACTGAAGGTACTACAGAGTAAAGAATAATTCATGGGGGTCACACACATAAAAAGAAGGGTTTTATTTACCCCAGCATGATAATCATCATTGTCTAGGGCTCGTTGAGTAGGATATAAACATAACTTTTATTAAGTAATATTTTTTTAATAACAAAGAAAGTGCAAGCCTCTGTCATTTGGACCATTTTTGCTAGGGGGTCTATCTAAAGACCGAAACTAGTCGTCCCATATACTGTATATAAATAACAAATAGTGAAAACACCGAATCATAATGTACTTTGCAAGTCGTGACGAAAACAAGCTAATGATTTTTTCATTCGCGGTTTGTTGCGATGTCTAGTTCGGAAGCTATTTCATAAGTCTGTAATATTAGATAGCTTCGATAACAGGATGTATATATTTAGTTGTAAATTCATTAAAAAAAATTTAAATAGGTAAGATAAATATGTATAGGGGCTCCCATACAACAGACGTGGTTTTTTCCGTTATTTGCTATATAGTATACTTTGGTGTCTTATTTTGTAGATATAGAGATAATGAAATATAAGAAAATATAGATAAATATATAGAAATCATACAGATAATGGTATGGAACCCTACGTGCACGAGTCTGAATCACACTGGACCGTTTTTTTACATTTACTGAATTAAGCTAAGTAAAAAATTATGCGGTGTTGAAAACCACATGAAAATTCGTTGAGTAGGTTTTGAGATTATCGCAAATATATACCTACAAGAGCAGGTGCAGCGCGGGATTTCGTTCAATAACATAGTGCATATTCTTCATCATAGTGATACTTTGAATGATTTTCGGAGCAATGACATTTGCTGAATTAGAAGCGAGAGAAAAACAAAACATGCGTCAGCTGCTGTCATTTCATCGGCGACTATCAAGTCTATTAATATACATTGCAGTTTCGGAAAGATTCGGGTCTAAATATAGGTAATCATCAAAAGAGTCTTAAAGTAACATGAACTTCTTTGAATTTTGTACCAATTTCATATACAGTAATAAATATGTAGGTATATTTAGCAATTGGCGGCCAAAAATTAATAAACCCGAACTCCTCCGAGCTTCGAAGGGCACGCTTAGATACTTGTCCCAACCCCGACGATGAACGAGAAGCGAGTAGAGCTTGAACCCAGAAACGAGTTATCGATCGACGGGAAGCGAGTGTGTAGGTCCGATATTTTTATTGGCTATTAGCAAGTATGTGATTACGACGAGTGATTACTCGCGCAACTCTAACATTTGACACGACATTGACACGGTGACATTTCTAAGCAAAGATGAACACGCGGCGCGTGCTTTCTGTTGGGCATCGCTGAACGATATCTTTGATAAGTCTTGTCGCTCAGCGACTAACTAGTGGAGCGAGTTCTGATTTCTTTTGTTTTATCTAATGCACGTTTCTTGAGCGCGATAAAAAGCGATAGTTAGCATCTTCCACACATCAATTCGCTCTGGGCTCGGCTGATGGGATATGGTATGCTCCTCTCATATTCCCCTGTCCGCCGGTGCGTCCGCTGTGGGTACTATATTAGATATAAGGCTGATTGATACTATTAAAGTAATATAAGTTATTTACGGGATTGTTACCATGTACCTTGTTTTTAGCGAGTTTCCGATATTTCGGCACTCCAAATTTCAATTCAATCCAAATTTCAATAGGGAAGATGGTTGGTATATACCACCAGCTTGGGAACCTATTATACAGGAGATAAAATCCCAACCCCGAGCACACACTGCAAGACCATCAGATACTATTAGTTCTTTTTGTTTGCATAATTTAACATAAGAAGGAGATAGAAAGCCTCTCTTGAGTTTGTTTTGCCGGTTCTTCTCAGGAAGGTCTCCCAATTTTGGAATAGGTGGTAGTTTACGGTAGTTAGGGTCAAATAAATAAACTCAAAATTACAAACAAGAATTTTAAATAAAATACTTTATTAAGTAAATTAAATAATAAATTCATACACAGACAATAAAAATTTTAAAAATCTTCCAATGAAATAACCGAACGCTCAATATAAGTCTTTCGAAGGTAGCTCGACAATTTTAAATAAAAAAAATCATTATTCTGACGATGCAGACCTGAAAAGGCTGCGAAACGTCAATAAATAAATAAAGTTTGGTGCATTAACCCGTAAAAAACTAGTTTTATTTAATTTCGGCACTGTTCACGATCAATGATCACAGAGTAACTGAAGTAATTGCGGGTAGGC